TCTGCGTGTATTTCTTTTGCATCTCCAGTGCCTAGCACAATGTCTTGCACCAGTAGGTGTGTAATAAATACTTGTTGAATTGAAGCAAATGCCAGTAAGCTTGATGGTAGTGCAGAGGAGATGAAAACATCCCTACAGACTTTGGTATTCACCATCATGTCTTACAAAGTGTAGGGTAAAGAGGATGGACCAGCAAAACACAGGAACATCACATTCCTGCCCGTGGAGCTGTTGGAGTGTGTCTGTCTCTAAAGTTGGTCTAGGGTTCCTACAAAGTATCCTTGTTAGATGTTGCTTCTTACTCAAGATCGCTTCACTGGATGGCATGTGGGTGGCCTGCAGTGCGTGCTAGGAAACCAATTTGGGCCGTCTGTCCCACCCCATTGTTCTGTTCCTAAAAGCAAGACCTGGAACCCATTCCCTTTGCCTTTCTTCTTTGGTCCCCCTGTTAAAGAGGGGGTTTGACCTGAGAGACACTGTAGCAATGTGTTTTGAGGCAGTCTACTGGGTGATTCTTGTCCCTTAGAGACCAATGCTAGGAAAAGAGACCTATTACTGGTTTTCCCAGTGTGTTTCACCAGAATCCTCTCCACAGAAAATACCTCCCGTTCCCATCCCACATTATTGACCTACATGGATATGGGGTAGTGTTTTCAAAGAGAGATTGAAGATCTCTCCACATGGGATTCTCTCTTACCTTCTTAAATTCAGGGTCTGAAGAACATACCTTTCAGGGTAGGGTACATGGATGGGAGAGGTAAAGGGAGAAAACAGCACATTGATTCAGAAATTATCTAAAGTGACCCTCATTTTTTTAATGTATAGAGAAAGTTAATTTTTATTTATAAAAAGAGTCAAGTTTAAATGATTTGGAAAATATTTGCCTTTCATTGTAGATGCAAAAATGCTTTCTTGTTTTTGTTTTTAAACAAAATGCTTTGGATCCATTGTTATGCATTTGTTGTAGAAAAGCATTTTATAGAAGGGAGTTAACGTACTTGGTAAACTATAGGCCAACAAGCTTAACTTCAAATCCTAGCAAAATTCTAGAACATACTTATTAATCAGGGGTCTGGAGAGGCCTATAGACCCCTACTCAGAATAATGTTTTAAAATGCGTGAAACAAAACACATAGGATTATAAAGGAAACCAATTATATTGAAAGACAGGAAAATATTTTGAAAACCAGCTCTGGGACACCAGTTAAGAATGCTTGGATAATTTAAACAAGCAGTGAAAAGGAATGTGTAGTAAAAGCCACCACCATGGTCTTGTCAGTAACAAGTCAGGCCAACCTACCCTCATTTACTTTTTGGGCAGTTATAAAAGTGGTAGATCTGGGAAATGCGCTGGATACAGTTGACCTTAATTTTAGGAAAGCATGTAATTAACGTCCTCTTCTTGTGAATAAGAAAGATGTGCATCTGACAGTCGGAGTTAGTTGAATTCTGCATCAGTTGAATGTCCACATCTCAAAAGTAGTTGTTAACGGTTCCCTGTCATCTTACAAGGCAGTCTGTAGTGGAATGATGCAAGGATCTATCTTTTTTCTCGTTATTATTGTTGTTCACTCATTTTCAGTCGTTTCCTACTCTTCGTGACCCCATTTGGGGCTTTCATGGTAGAGATACTGGAATGGTTTGCCATTTCCTTCTCCAGCTCATTTTACAGATCAGGAAACTGAGGCAAACAGGGCTAAGTGACTTGCTTAGGGTCACACAGCTAGTAAGTGTCTGAGATTTGAACTCAGGAAGATGAGCCCAGTGCTCTCATCTGCTGCATTACCTAGGGACCCAATTTGTCCTTTACCATGTATTCTTTAATCAGTGACTTGGTATGCATATAGGATTTTCAGATGACATAAAACTGAGATGAATACCTAAAACAGTGGGTGATAGGGTTCTAATAAGTCCCTGAAAGGCTAGAATATCAGGCCAAATATAATATGTTAAAAGCATAAACTCATATATTACTGAAGGTGGTTTTTTCCCCCTAAACCCAAATATAAATTGGGGGAAGTGTGGCATAACACTTGTCTGGAAAAGCTCTGAGGACTCAGCACTGTGGGTAAGGCATCTAGGAAAGCTATGTGATCTTTGGACTGTAGTGTCCTCCATAGGGTTCTGTGCTGGTCTGACCACATTCAGCAGTCATTTATGAAGTGCCTACAGTCTTCCTGACACTCTGCTATAGATGTGAGGGGCACATTGGTAAAACAGAATATCAGAGACATTACATCTTGTGCATCTGAAATAATGTGTTCAACTCTAGGTTCCATATTTATAGAAGTGGCCAGAGTTGGATATCCAGGACCTTAAGGACAGCCCTCAAGATTAGGCCATATGAAGATTAGTTAAAGAAACAAGTGATGTTTAGCCTGGAGAAGAGATTGGGGGGGTTGAGGGGGGGGACTGCCTTCAAGTATCAGGAAAGAAGTTACAATAATTTTGCTTGGCCCTAGAGGGCAGAATTAAAATCAGTTGGTAGATGTTGCAAAGATATGTTTGATAAGAGTCTGCAAAATATCTAAGATTTATAGGAATATATATATTCAAAATTATATATTTACATAAAAATATATTTGTGTGTATATATATGTGTATGTGTGTATATATGTATGTATATATATATGTGTGTGTGTGTGTATATATATTTTTATATATATATATATATATATAAATGACCAATTACCATTCACCAGTGGATCCAGGGTCAAAAGATGTAAACAAACAGTTGTCAAAAGAATCACCAACTATTAACAACTATATGAAAGATTATTCCAAGTCACTATAAGAAAAATGCGAATCAAAACAATTCAGAAGTTTTACCTCACACCCAGCAAATTGACAGAGATGAAAATAATCGGTGTTGGAGTCTTTTAAGAAAGGTAGATGAGCTAATATACTGTTGGTAGAGCTGTGAATTGGTCTGACCATTCTGGAATGCAATTTGAAATTGATTTTTTAAAATGTGAATCTTTTTTAATGTTGAATTAAATTTTATCTTTTTCAGTTAGCAAATATCAATTGTCTCTCCTTCCCACTCCCTGCCCCACCATTGAATTAAAAAAAAGACAACCTTTTTAGCAAATAGAATAATAATAACAATAGCAACAACAACAAAAATAATAATAAATAGCTAGCATTTGTATAACACTTACTATATGCCAAGCATTACACTAAGCCCTTTACAGATATTATTTGATTGTTTCATTTCACAACAACCCTGGGTGGTAGGTATTATTATTAACCCCATTTTGTAGTTGAGGAAACTGAGACAAACAGGTGGAGTGACTTGCCGCCAGGGTCACACAGAGCTAGTAAGTCTACGGCTGCATTTGAACTCAGGTCTTCTTACTCCAGGCTCAGCACTCTATCTGCTGCACCGCCTCAGTGAGGAATATTGCATGTGTCAATAAATATGCACAGTCAAGCAGAACAAAGTCTCACATTAGCCCTATCCCCACCTCCCAAACAGATTGTCTCATTCCATACCCTGAGCCCATCATCTCTCTTGTGAGGAGGCACATAGTGTATTTTGGAATGCTGATTGGTCATTGTGTTGTTCAGAGTTCTCAAGGCATGCCGTGTTGTTTGGTTTTACAGTCTAGTTATTATAAATTAACAAAAATGTTCCAGGTAGGTTACTGTGCTTTTAAATTCTGTACTTATTTTTAGCATAGTCAGGCTAAGTTTTAACTTTTTTTTTTAAGTTCTAAAAGAGTTGATAAGGAATCCCACCGCTAAATTTAGAGGCTGGTACTGCCCAGCATCACCCTAGAGGCAGTGACACCAAATGTGTTTGGGTGGGGGGAATCACAACTGGAAATTATCTAAATGATTTCTGGGTAAATTTTTGTAAGCTAAGTACATTAAGTGGTTTTTAAACCTGCTTCAGAACCTATCAGCTCATTTAGTTTGGCTTGTTTCATTATCTTAGTGTGTGAACTAAAAACAAAAAATGCGTTTCTTTTTCTCTTTTTGGGAAGGCAAGAGGGAATAAAAGAATTGGAGCCCCCTTCTTCAGCTTGGGCTCGTTTGAGATTGAGTCTCCTCAAGGAAGATTAGATCTAGCCTTGCCCAAAGAGAAGGTCTCGCTTGGTGGTGAATTCTGAACATTCCCGATTACAAGGATTCTGATTAGTTACCCAACTCTCCCCCTCATTACTAAGGCAGCAGTTCTTCACCCCAGGTTTTTAAAAATATTTTTGTGACTGTCTTTCAGTGCAATTGGTTTCCTTTGTTAAGTCTATGTATTTTCTCTGTTACATTCAAAGACGTATTCTGGGGGTGGGGGGCGGGGATTGGCTTCACTAGACTGCTAAAAGCAGCTGTGATGTAAAAAGAAGTTAAAACCCCCTGCACTAAGGGGGTGCCAAGACAGTTGTCATTTTTGAAAGGCTAACTAACAGCAGATGTATTAATTGAGCCATGAAACTAAGCACTGGCCCATGGGCCCAGACCCAGAAAAGAAATTGTCCAGCCTCAGACCAATCAGGCAGAAGGCCTGAAAGACCATCTCCTATGCCTCTGTTTTGTATTTCCTTGTTTGGTTTCCATGGGAATTCAATTATGTGGGAATTGAGTGACTTTATAAGCAAGACCCAGTGAGAGTACAAGTAGGGGGGAAGGGGTGATAAATGTGCATTGGGACTAGTCTCAGTGTTGCAGATTACCCAGAATTTCCATGGTCCATCCTGATGGTATTTGTACAACTGCACAGCTGTCCTTCCCTGGCTCTGCCCCTTTTGAGCCCCAAGTTCTGACTGTAGTCAGTCTCCTGCCTTCCTCTTACATTCTATATATCTTATATGGACAATTTTTTTTTTTTTTTGTGCACCAATTCCCTCCTGAGAATGTAAGCTCCCTGAAGGCAGGGGATTATATTTTTGCATTTCTTGGGTATTCCCATTTTCCTTATTTAGCCCAGTGCCTAGCATACAGTAATTGCCTAATAAATGCCTGTTTTTTGACTGTTGTTTCTGCTTCACCCTGCCCAGGTATACACTGGCAGCTCAGGACCTGGTCATGCGAGCTCGAGGCGTTCTGAAAGACAGAGGCTGGCGGATATCCAATGACCGGCTGGGCTCAGGAGACGACATTTCTGTCTATGTCATTCCTTTAATACACGGAAACAAACTCTCATGAGACTCATGATGGCCCAGGGGACTGGGAGGGTTGTTGGAAGAGAGAGATGGTATGTCTCTTTGAGGAAGGGAAATGCAGAAGTCAGTTCCAATTGGTGTCCTGTCCTCCATTCTCAATCCATGCCAGGTGGGTGAGGAGTTTGCTGTTACCCAGGCAGGGCTCCCCAAAATGCCTAGTGCTTCAGGTATCCCTTGGGTCCCACCTTCTCCTGTATTCATGGGACTTGGGCACACAGCAGGAGCTCAGTGCAAAGACTTCTCTCGTGCATCAGGTTTCTTTTGCTTCCTTTTCTAGATCACCTAAGTTGAGGCCTACCCATTGGGGGCCACATGAGTATTTATTTTGTTCCAGAATAGTTGGAGCAAGCATTTTCAGGTATAACCCAGTTAAAAGGTGTTCAGCCAGTCAAATTGCCAGCTTCCCTAAGAATTGAGAAAGATACACACTGGAAAGTCACTGTAAGTGAATGCTGGATTGTAGGCTGACGTCCCCCAGTCAGCCTGGTGTTTGTTACAGGGAAAGCCTAGAAGACGGGGGTGGTTTTTTATGGGTGTGGTTTTGGGGGGGGGGCGGGTGGTGGGGGGTGGTTTGTTTTTTTTTGCATTCTTTGAATCCTCACCTTCCTGGACCAGAGAGCAGGGCTGGAATGTTGCAGCTCCTTGCCGAGGAATGCATTTCCCAAACGCAGCCCATGGCAGTCCCTATGCTATCTTATCTACAAGGGCCTGAGCAGCCATGTGGAATGGGACCTTGAACGACAGAACACTTGTATGACAGTGAGAGCTGTCTGAGTCATGTTCTCCTTCCAGATTGGTTTGTTTTCACCAAAATCTGTATAGTTCCTTGGACCTTTCTGGCATCTACCATTACCCTCATTGGTCTTTCCTGTTGGGGGCCCAAGGGGTCTCTCTGGGAGGAGGGATTTACATTCATTGAATGGCTGCCTCCCTCTCTCTTCCTATCACCCGTCCTGTTTAAAGGATCACTGTGTATATGGAGACCTGTTTGAAGCAGTGTTTAGGAGACTGGGGTGTCTGGGAAGTCTCTTACATTGGCCTTTTAGCCATACCTCCTTTGAGGAATACCACAACATCCAGGGTCATGTTCCTTCCCCATTGCATACCTAAAACCAAACCAGGATCCCTGGACAGTGACCAGGGGGCGGGCATCTCGTGCTCCCCTGGTACCCATCAGCGTTCTCCAATCTGGTCTCTCGTACACCCTCAAGTACTGACTGCTTCACCCTTCCTCCTTGCCATCTCTTGTTTCTAGATATGATTTCACACTTCTTGCTCATACACCAAAGCACCCCACTTTCGTAACCCTAATCCAACCCTGCTGACTTGTTTTTAAGAGGGATGAGATTCAAAATGAAGTAAATACCCTTTCTGACTACTGTGCAAAAGACAATGCTTTGCTTCGTGGGACCCAGGGTGAGGCAGGGAGTGGGGTCTACCTGCTACGTCTCCTCCGTGAGTCTCAGACGCTTGGGGCGTCTTCACCAAGCTAACCACTTTCTGTAATGAAAACCATTTCTGTAGGCCAGTGAAAGAGAAGAAGAGAGTTGGTGTAATTCTCAAAAATGCCAGCTAGCCAGTTCCACGTTTCACACATATTTGAATTCCTTCCCCAGAGGAGAAGAGGGCCAGCATTTCCACCAGGCTGCCACGTCTTTGGCATTCCTGGAGGCATTAAGATTTTCTTAGGACTGGCATAGAGCCTTCCCTACTCAGGAACTATTCCGTGATGTGTAAACTAGTAGCCTGCCAAATGGCATTTCAGTCCTAAGGCACTCACCAGGTATTTACCCCCAACCAGTGGCAGCAAGGAGTTTCTGTACCACTTTGTCCATCTAGGACTGCCCACACGAGGCAGGCCCCCTCCCGCTTCCTTCCTCTGCAGAACAAATCCACCCTTGGGTCAGATGCTGTGCTGTAGAGATGGGTAGCTGGGAGAGGGGGGCTGAGAGAGGGATGCTCTGACTTCTGTGGTTCCAATGTTGACTACATGTGATGCCGCAGACAGGGAAATACAGATATCCTGCATGCTGGGGGAGCCAAAGAGACCATTCCCTTTCTCCTGTCTTGCCCTCATTCCTTTCAGGCAAATACAAATGGCGATACAGAGAACCGTGTGCTGGTGCCTTGAGCTTTTTTCTCATGTAAGCAAGTCTCATGCTGTGTGATCCTAAGTAGCCAGTCCCCAACCCTCTGTACATGTGCACACACACGCGGGCGCACACACACACACGCACACACCCTCCCTTCCTTTGTGTTTCTTTTCTTCCTCTATTGTGGCTGTCTGGAGTCCTTTCATGTAACTGCAGCCAGACTCTTTGACTTAGCACCCAGTTAACCTCCTGGTCAAAGTTCAGCAGCAGCAGCCCAGTGCACAGCATGGCCACTAGGGCTCAGGCTCTCTTCCCCTGGACACCCACTTCTGCTAGCCCTGAAATCCCACCCTTGGAGCATTTGTTTGTCATGTCAGGATATCATCCAGAAATTCCACTCACAAACCATAGGGAAAACAAGTCCCCAACAGCCCAAACTCAGTTTTGTACTGTTCCCCGACATGTGGCATTTTCTGGTTTGGAAAGCAGGGCTGTTGGGTGGGGAAAGGAGAAGAGGCAGGTGATGCCGGGTCCTGGTACTGTAAAGGGGCAGCTTGAGTAAGACTACACTAAGGGAGAATAAATCACAAGTGACCAAAATGATTTGTCCGAGTCCCGGTTTGAGATCACTTTGTGGTCTGAGTTTGCTGCATGTTTTCCTTTCTCCCCAGACTGGGGTGACAGATCCTCTCATCCTTGGGCAGCGACCACGTGGAGATAACGTGCTGGCCGTCTGAGGACTTCCCCTAAGCCCAGAAGGTGGCACACTCCACATTCCACTTACTTACATGCCACCGACTCTTGTGTGTCTGACTTTGAGCCAAACCCACTTGTTGCTATCCCAGAGGAAGTCCTGCTTTTCATTTCCCAGTGATGTTATTCTAGTTCTCCTGGGTGTTGGGAGTTCTTTTTGTCTTGTGGTATTTCGTTTGTTTAAGTGAGGCCCTCCCTCTCCCCAAGTTACACACTTGTCTTATTTAAGATGGCTCTTTCCATTTCCCAACTAGGCTTATCCAGCCCCTCCAAGCCCTACATTTTGTCAACACTGTTTTCATTAAAGGAAGCGCAACAGCCCCAAGGAAAACTGCTCCCAAATCCATACTCCCCCTCCCGATTTAGGCTCTAGGATGACCATTGCCTACAGAAATCCTTTTCTGCACAGTCAGCCGTGGGATATTAGATCAGCCAAGCTTTGTACCATTATAGCCAAGGTGAATCCTGACCAAAGGTTGAGCTGAGAGAGAGAGGAGCCGGAGTACTCAGAAGGGACAGAAAAGGAGCATGTGTTAATGGGCCTTCAGGGAACCCAACTGTGACTGTCCTCAGACTTCTCTTCTGCTGGTAATGGGGGAGTGGGCACCTAAGCTTTCTCCACTGAATTCTGCTTTGGTCCCCAGCATACTTGGCGGGGAGAGGAGTTAATGGAGGGGTTGTACTATTTTCGTTTGAAGTTTTAATAGTCAACTCTCCACCCTAAAGCCCCTCTCCCTTCCCTTTGCTTCTATGCTACCGTTCATCTGGGGCAGGGCTTTAGCCATGGCAGTAGAAATCTGGGATATTAAGAGATTTGGTTTCTGATCCTGGGACCCTCTGAGAAAGGGTCTATTTTGATGATAATCTGCTATTCCAGTCTCTCATGGTTTCGCTCAGGTGTATGCTCCTTCATGAAGTCAGGCTATTATTTATTAATCGGGGAGGGGGTTTTATATCACCAAGTATATAGCCTTTCTTTCAAGGGCCCAAGCCGCTCTGTACTCTTTCCCCCAGTGAATAATAAAGCCTTAATGGGATTTCATTTTTTTTTTCCCTTGGATAAGCAGCCCCTTACAGGACAGTCAGGGAGAAAGAGAGAGAGATTTTCAAAAGAGGAGTCAGACTGACCCCGCTACATGCTTTTAAAAATAGAAAAGGCCTCAGGCCACTGGACAGAGTTCTACACTGGAAAACTTCAAGTACAAAACACCAGAGGGTGTTGCTGAAGCCAAGCAGCTCCCCCTGACCTTTCACGAGGGTTTGCAGCTCGGCAGAATCTGGCCATCCTTGGAAATGGAGCAGGCCTTGGCAGTGGTGAGCTGGTGATGTGGCACACGGAGGGGTAAAGCACTGAGATACCTGTAGAACACACCGTGTAGGCAGCCCAGCTCGGTCCAGATTGGAATGCCAGCTTGAACAGGCATGACCCAAGTCTCACCCCACCACGTACTCTTGTGTAAATAGCTTTCCTTTCCTTTCGCCTTTGTCTTAGATGAAGATGTGTTCATGTACCTACCACGTAGACAGTGACCAAATGAGACTGTATATGTGCTGCCACTTTCTACCTGTGATGTACTTGAAGGATGAGGAGCCCATAGGGTCTCTGCTAAACTTTCTGTCCTTCCACGAGTACTTTGTGTTTGTTGATGTCTGTTTGGGGGTTTTTTGTTGTTGTTGTTGTTTCTATTTTTAGGGATTTTTTGGAGGGTTAGTCTTTCCTTTCCCCCTGTTTTACTTCCATTTTCCTTGTTCCTGCTGGGGTTCAAGCAGGCCTACAGCAGAAACCACACTTTCAAGACCTTGTGATCATTTTTCCCACGAGGACCCTTGCGTAATGGAGAGGGAGAAGAATCTGTCAGAAAGTGACTTTCAGAACAGTACACTTTTCTGCTTTTTTTCTCAACTGTGTTGACTTTTGTAAGGTGCCCCCACCCAAACAAAAACCGTTTAGTACAAAGGATTTATTGTACATGTTTTGAAAACTTAAGTGCAATGTCCCAAGGGAGAAGCTAAGGAGAAATGTATATGTTCATTGACATTTTAAAATAAAAAGATTATATATATGTACATAGGACACCTTCATCAAGGCTGAGTTTTTTGTCTCTGTCCTGCTTGCAATGGGACCTTGGGCAAATTGCCTCACTGGGCCTTGGTTTCCTAGTCTCTAAAATAAGGGAGAAAGAATGGCCTAGTTCTCAGGGGTGTGGGGAACCTGTGACCTCGAGGCCACATGTTTTACAGAAGAAATCCATTTAGTAAGAGGATTTGTTCTATGAAGTTTGGATTCAGTCAGAGGGCAGCACTTAAGGACCTAGAGGACCACATGTGGCCTTAAGGCCGCAGGTTCCCCGCCCCTGGATAAGTGGTCATTGAGGGAGGCCTTTTGCAATTCCTAAGCTTGTGATCACCAGTGTGTGAGTGCCCAATTGGAGAAGTTCTCCATGCTAAGAAAGAGCGCATATTGGAACACTCCCTCTGAATGTAAGGCAAATGCAAAAATGATTAAAAGGGAAAATGAAACCAGTATTTTAAGCCTTTACAGAAATAACACAAGTGCCTGGAGATGCTGATGTCTTTAAAAATGTACACCTAAAAACCAAGTATGGAGACTGGGATAACACACAGATAAACATCATTGGCTAAGAGACATTCTCAGGTAAGAGAAGGAGTGAATTGTCCATTCTTGC